CAAGCCGATTCTGGGATGGATGAAGGCCCGTGCTACCAAGCCTAAGTGGAAGGACGTCTCAGCGATGAGTTCAACCACGAAAAGCTATTGGGCCCAATGGGACAGCTTGCTGCTTCAGGATGGAATCCTGTGCCGTAAATGGGACAATGGTCGAGGAGACAGCTGTCGTTTGCAAATGGTTGTCCCTAAAGCTAAAGTGCCGAATGTTCTACAGCTGTGCCATAATGGTCGTTCAAGAGTCCATCTGGGAGTTAAACGAACTCTACTGAAGGTCCGAGAACAGTTTTACTGGGTCCATTATCGTGACGATGTTGAGGATTGGTGTCGTACATGTACAAGTTGTGCGGCTGTGAGGGGACCTCAGACACGGAGTAGAGGAGCATCGAAATTGTACAATGTTGGTGCACAACGGGATAGGACAGCCCTTGACATTGCGGAGCCGTTACAGAAAGGCGCAAAGGGGACTCCTAAGATCATCCATGTGGATCGCCTAGCGCGTTATTATGGGGCCGATAATGCTCGGGACGAGCATGTCTTAGGAGGGGGCAGTGTTACGCCGCGCTCAAATCAGCGCACTAGCGCCATCTAGTGTCAGGAACGAGAGCGAGGGGAGCTTTGCAGTAAATGACATCACAAATCTTTCGACCGACAGCGCCACCCGAAGAACTAAGTTTCTGGAAAATCTACACTCGAATACTCGTTGCCTGGCGCGCATTTACTTGAATGTTCGGGACGCTTCTTTGCTAATTATATAAATAGGCGCTGCAAGATGCGATCGGGGCAGAGTTGAACTCGGCGACACAAGCGAAGCTTCGGAGCGGAATTAAGTGAATTAGTGTGTTTAATTATTAGTGTTTTTAGTTTTAATTTGTGTAAAGTAAATTAAAGTGTTAATTTAGGTAATTTTATCGGCAATTTTTATTGTCACGAACCTCAAGCTCGTAACAATACATTTATTATAAGAATTTAATGTAATATAATAGCAATATAGGTATTTGCATTTGCTTAAATCTGTGAAATAGATCTTTATTTAGGTACATCTTTATAAAATAAATAAAAATATTTATCATTTATATACTCGTAATATTATTTTAGATTATGGTCTCTGCATCTCTTCAAGATATTTAAAGATTTATATATCTCGGCCAAGAACACCCCCCCAGGTAAAAACAAACCACCAATAAAAACTTACCTTATTTTCACCCCAAACCCCCCGGCTACCTTCAGTTTTTTAATAATTAATATTACACAATTCGGTCCGATCTACGCAAAACGAGTTTACAGAATCTAGAAGTCTTGCAGTAGTATTAGTATTTGTATTATAGTATGCTCGGGTTTGGGTTTAATTTTGTTAATTATAGGATCCCAAGCAGATGGCAGTACCCATCCATCTTCTCTATTGAAATTAGAATGTTTTTTAATTTCAATAACCTCGCGTATCATCCTTGGTAGGAATCGGTGTTCTTTTGCCAGGATTTGTGGTTTATAAAATCTGATGTAATGGTGGGGACGATCTTGAACATGTTGACAGACTGCAGACTTCCCGGAGCGTCGGTGCTTCACGTCAGCTATATGTTCTTTCACGCAGGTTTTTATGGATCTTTTTGTTTGACCTATGTAAGAGAGACCACATTCACAATTTAACTTGTACACTCCTGCATCTTGTAGAGGGATATTACACTGTATTGTTCGCGTAAATTTAAGAAATCAATATATGCACTTTTCCTGCTTTTCTAATTTAATTTCCAAATAAGCCTAAAAAAGACAAATATATTCAAAGCAGGGATGGTCGATGTTCAAAAACATCGATGGTGACATCGATGTTGGCTATTATCGATGTTTTTGGCGCATGTGCCTATTTAATAGATTAGAAATAATAAAATAGTCCTGTTATTTATGGCTTATTTTTGATAAAATAAAAGAAATTTTAGTCAACCAAATCCAAGAAATACATTTTGACAGCTGTCAAACAAAAAAAAAATAAAACTATATAAATTACAAATTATAGTAATTCTGAATTATCAAAATTTTAAACCTTTAATAGGAGATGCAAGATTTAGTTGATATAGATTTCGCGGGTTCGCGTTCTTCACAAGTTCTTATTAATCGATTATGGGTTCATTGACATCGATGTTACGATGTTTGACATGTGGCAATATCGATGATCATCGAACATCCCTTTTTCAAGGATGTTGCGTGTTTCATAATTCGTGCGTGTAAATAGAAATGACAAGTGGTCATCTTTGTCATTTTGAGTCACTGACTTAGAAGTATATGGACTGGGCATACCCACAAAATTAGCGTGACTACCTACAAAAAATCTGGCGCATAAAATGGCCGCCTTTTATAGGGTTTTAACTCTGCAATGTGCGCAGCTGATATCGATATTTTAACTAATATGAATTTGTTATCATTTTATATAATTGGATTTGTTGCTTAATTTACTTTATTCCGTAGGTGACAGATTTATGGCTTTTGTGTAGATAGAAATTAAATCCTTCTTTTATGTTTAAAGTATTACTGGGATGGTGATCCCAGATCCCATTTTAATGTAAAATAATAATGATTAGTTGAGTAAAAATGAAATAAACTGTTTTAAAAGTCAATACTTATTTATTATTAATTTTTCTACACATAATTAATCACAAATAGTAACTTATGCTCAGGCAAGTTGTATATCATATTTTATTTATTCATTCGGATTTTAAATGAAAAATATTATCAAATTTCGAAAAATTCGAAAATCTGGCATGATCACGAAATATGATATGAAGGATAACATCCTGGGTATCATATTTCATCCACCGTTTCAATAAAATTACTTTTTAATATAATTTCTATAAGACAGTTTGTCACTGCTTCTTCTTGCATGGTATCTGAACCTTTTTCTGCCACAAATCCCGCAATATATTCTAATACAGCAATTGATAAGGTTTTTTAATAATTTAAATAACGACTCTAATAGAGGCATACTGAAGATCACTCCTGAAAGTTTTTGTTTTTTCTCCCCCAACTAGTAGCTAAAAACATACATATACTGTGATTTTTAATAATTACAAAACTTTTTAGAAGTCTTTTTATTGGCTAAATAAACTACAAAATTATACATCTTACATAAATTAATAATTCAAAAATACATCCCTACCCAGCCCCACCCCCCAAACCACCACACCAAATAAAAAAAAAAAAAAAAAAAACCCCCCCCCAATTTAAAAAAAAAAAAAAAAAAAAAAAAAATACCCCCCCCCCCCCCCCCTCTTCACACACAAAACTTATATAACATAACACTTGCAATAAGCTGTAAGACACTTATTTGCTTAGAAATATGCTGAAAAAGTTACAATCTAACTACTTCATTCATTGAATTACCGTTAAAATATAGAAGTATTTATAACACGTGACGTGATGTAATTATGTTTCACAAAATTATTTTAATATAAAAATCAATTGCCGTATGTTAGTTTTGTAAAAACTCAGAAATGCCTCTCAATTAAGAGTTATAATCAAATCAATTTTAGGTGGTTAGGGTTATCTAATAACATAATAAAATATAAATAGAAGAAAAACATCTACTATAAGATGAAGGCACTGCACTACACAACAAAACAACTTTTAGCATTCAACACTTTGACAGCAGATCTACCACAAAACTCGGCGCTTAACATGGCGACATAGATAAATAAATATGTCATGGCGACGCAGTCACGCATAGATGAGCTAATGACGTCACACGAAAGTGTTGTCAAAATAAGCAATTTACAAACTGTTGTTGTCTCCCTTTTCTAATGAAGTATGAAGTATTTTTGACAAGTGTGTGTCGATATTATAGATATTTGTATAACTATTATTTCTATAGTAGAATACGCTGCCTCCATAGGTATTATATCTCTATGTTTTGAGTGGACTAAAGACTGTAATCTATGACTAAAGAATATCACAAGCTACACTCCATAATCTCTCTACTCTAATATATAGTCAGATGCGTAGTATCCTCTTAGTAGTCTGTGAGTAGTCTTAGTAGTCACTACTCAGTGGAGTTTTGGCGGGAACTTGGCCGTAGATGGATTTTGATTCGTAAAAGTGATGCGATTTTGTGAATTAAGTGTACGCGCGTTTGAACTATTGGAGAAAACGACTAAACAAGTGCTTTAATATCGATATAAACCTCAAGTTATTTTGATCGCTTGGGCGCCTCATGAACTTGAGTGGCTGTCGTCATCAACTGTCCGCTGGGTTAAAAGTAAAGTTACAGCCTATATATGTCTCACTGCTGGGCACAGGCCTTCCCTCATTTCTGAGAGGGTTTTAGTTCAAGGAATAGTCCGCCGCGCTGCCCCAATGCGTGTTGAATATAAATATTTCGAACTTCACATGTCTTCGAAATATTTATATTCTTATTCTTCAGACATGCAGGTTTCCTCACGATGTTTACCTTCACCGCCGAGCACGCGGTAAATCAGCACTTAAAATTGCAATTAACAATTTCATTGGTGCCGGCGGGGATCGAACCCGGGTTACTCGCGTTTTGTTATATTTACAGTGAGCGGTAACCATCTGAGCTACCACGGCACCGCTGGGTTAAGCTGTCGTCAAAATCTCCCAAGGGCTTCGCAATGTGATACATCAGCATATTGTGAATAAAAAGAATATAAAAATAAAGACCCCGAAAGAAATTATGGGCTCAGAAGGGCTAGAACCCAGAGCCGTAAAGCTAGTTAATAAAAAAATCTATACTCAGAACGTAGACACAGAAACCTATAGACCGCAGACAGAGAATGCGAAAGAAGGCGTCAAATTTGTCTATAGGTTTTTCTGTCTACGACTCAGTAGGCTTCTCTGTCTACGACTCAGAAGCTCAGAATACAGTAATCTATGCTCAGAAGACTCAGACAGAAGTTTCTGTTTATGTATATGTATATACCTATTATAATCTTTGGCTCTTTGGTGCAATGTATGTAGCAAAACGACAGAACGCATAATTTATACAAAACAAAGTGAAAATGGGCAAGAGCAAATCCAAAAAGCGCCAACGAGCTTCTTCATCTGATGATACAAGCTCTAGTAGTTCTGAATCATCTCGTGAAAAAAAGAAACTTCGTAAATTGAAAAAGAAATTAAAGAAGGAACAAAAGAAAACTGAAAAAATATTAAAGAAAAAGCTAAGAGAAGAAAAGAAGAAATTAAAGAAGCGCAGAAGTAACAGCGACAGTAAAGATTCCAAAAATGATGAAGCAACCGCTGATATTCCAATTGGTCAGTATCAGTGAGATAGTTTGTTAATAAATGGATTGTATATTTTAAAGTCCAACATGTTTATATATTATAATATACTATTGTTCGCGGGAGAGCCACACTGCAGCTATATTATGGTAGTAGCACGAATGGATCGGCTTGACCACGGGAGGACCACATTCTCACAAAATATCATCGTAAAATAGCCACTTCATTCTGCTGTGTCTTGTATGATGAGTGTAGAGATCTGGAGACCCTTTATTACTGGAAACTTTTTCATGTGTGAAAACGCATCTGCATTTTGATTCCAATATGGTAGAGCCGTGCTGCAGTTATATTAGTAGCATAGTTGTAGCACAAATGGGTCGGCTTGACCGGGAAGGATAACACTCTCACAGAATACCAGCATCAAATAGTAACTTAATGCTGCTGTGTTTCGTATGGTGAGTGTAGAGAACCAGAGACCCTTTTTACTGGAAAAGAGGCATTCCATCTTTGTCTTCACGGGTGACAATGCATCTGCATTTTGATTCATAATTGAGGATAGATGTAGATGTCTGGGCTACAGCAACCACGGTTAAACTATAGACGTTCGGTACATGCGTACAGTGTTGGGAGGGGGAGGGGAGGGGGACATGGGAAGCCCCCCTACCCTTCCCCCGTTGCGGAAATGTATAGTTTATGAGTAATAATTTTTTTTGTAAATTTATAACCTCACTTTTTTATACAGGAATATAGACAAAGTTACTTCTGCAACGGTCGTACGGTGCTGGGAGGGGGGAGAGGGGAGAGGGGGGGTCGTGGGAACCACTCGCTTCGCTTCCCCCATTGCGGAAATGTATAGTTTATGAATAATAATTTTTTTTGTAAATCATAACCTCACTTTTTTATACAGGAATATTGACGCAAAGTTACTTCCGCAAATACTTCGGCACTGCGGGAAGTGCAGCCCCTTCGCCCTTGCGTAGCAAATCACAGGCACCCATGCTCGCCTTCGCAGCTTCAGATTATTAGCCTCAGCCGCTACGGCTCATTTGGGTGCCTGCGATTTGCTACAGCGGGCGGGGGCTGCTCTCCCTCCATGCCTACAGATTCACAAAAACACTCTAGGGGTATGGCAGACAAGACTACGTGGAGTTGGGGTGTGCTAATTCGGTTTTAGAACCAATTCGACCAATCTTATGTATAAAGTCTGGTTGCCCTAAACTCTGCTATGATAGTGGTAAATGAAATAATGTAATGTGAATTGTTATAATTTTGTTTTCTGAAAAACCTCTTCACTGCTCTCCACTGCGACTCAATTTGTTGTATATAAGTCCAGTCTCCAGCCACAAATGGATTGTCTGGGTCCGAGTGATTAACTTTTTTATGAGTTTATCTGTGTTAAAAAAACAAATTGACATATTTGCGTTTCATTATTGCAATTTTTAGTGAAATTTATTTTTATCGTAATTAATTCAAAAGGCATTTCTGAAATCCAAAAACTGTAAATGGTTCAAGCTTAACCCTGACAAGGGTTGGCTATAGACATCCGGTACTTGATTTTGATAATGTTTTTAGTCTAGGAGGCTTGTTAGGGTTAAGCTTGAACCTATTACACTGTTTTTAGATGGCGGAAATGCGTTTTGAATTAATTACGATAAAAACAAATTTTACTAAAAATTGTGTAATAACGAAACGCAAATATGTCAATTTGTTCTCGTATTATAAAGTAGATGTCTGGTACTTGATTTTTAATTTCGTTTTCAATTTATGAGGATTGTCAGGGGGTTAAACTATCGACGTCCGTTACTCGCGTACGCTGTTGGGAGGGGGGGTCATGAGAAGCCCCCCCGCTATCCTTTCCCCGTTGCGGAAATGTATAGCTTATGAGTAATATTTTTTTTAAAAAAACCCACAACGAATATTCCTTATAAAAAGTTACACAAAGTACTGCAGCCCCCCCCCCAACTTTTTTTGACAAAAAAACGTATAAAGTGGGTTGGATAGGAAAAAATAAAGTATTAGGAAGAAAAAAAGTATTTTTCAAATTTTATGTTTTTATTGCTTTAAACACGTATTTTTGTGTGTTTTTAGCACATGCTAACAATTTTTTGTTGTCTTTAAATGTTACAAAGCTTGTTTGACAATCAACGTTTAAATTTAAATAAATAATTTTTTTTAAGTTATTTTAGCTTTTTTAGGAGTCACTGGTGTGTCGCTATCAGAATTACTCGTCATTTTCAGCATTAATATTTACTTTAAAATGCATTCTTCACTTATAACCAAAACTAACGGACCAGTTTTGTACAATTTCGTCGATAGTGAGAGACATCTGTGACAAACGTCATAACTGACATCTGACATCTAATAGGCCTTTCCGATTCACGCCAACAGCGCTGTCAGCGCCAATAATCCGTTCCGAATCAACCGTAAGCGCGCTGATGACAATGCTAACGCTGCCCATGGTCGCGAGCGTAATCACTGTTGGCGCTGTTGGTGTGAATCGGAAAGATAGGTAACATTTCGTTCAGCAATTATAAATCGTTAAGTACCCATGATGAGTATGTTTTACGAATCACAGCAAAAGGTTGAAAATAAAGTATTTTTGCATACTTTATTTGTATGTAAAAGTATAAAGTATAATTACCAAAAATAAAGTAGGATACGTTATTATAAAGTATGGTTGGCAAGCCTACCCCCTACCCTTCCCGGTTTCGGAAATGTATAGTTTATGAGTAATAATTTTTTTTGTAAAATCGTAACCTCACATTTTTATACTGAAATATTGACGCAAAGTTACTTTTGCAACGACTTCGGCACTGCGGGAAGTGCAGCCCCTTCGCCCTTGCGTAGCAAATCACAGGCACCTAAGTGAGCCGCAGCGGCTGAGGCTGGTCGCCCAAGGCGACTGAGAATAAGCCGAAGCTGCGGAGGCCTATGGCTTCACAAAAACACTCTAGGGGTAGGGCAGACAAGACTATGTGGAGTCGGTTGTGCTAATTTGGTTTTAGAACCGATTCAACCAATCTTATCTATAAAGTTGCCCTAAACTCTACTATGATAGTGGTAAATGAAATAATGTAATGTGAATTGTTATAATTTTGTTTTCTGAAAAACCTCTTGACTGCTCTCCACTGTGACTCAATTGACATATTTGCGTTTCGTTATTACACAATTTTTAGTGAAATTTATTTTTATCGTAATTAATTCAAAACGCATTTCCGACATCTAAAAACAGTGTAATAAGTTCAAGTTTAACCCTAACAAGCCGGATGTCTATAGCCAATCCCATTTTTTTTTATTCAAGTAATAAGAAACAATAATTAGGTTCAATCATGGTGTGGATTTCTGGATCTTGACAACAGTGCCACCTACTGGGTTCAATTATAAATCTCAAATTAATTTAATCACAATCTGCTGTAAGCGTCTCCGTCACCTTGAAGACCCCACTTTCTCTACGATCTTTATAGACAGGAATTGATAAAATTATTAATTCCTGTGTCTATCAATCGCACAGCGTTGACCAGGAGACAACTAGGCTATTTGAACTCCTTAGTGAAGCCCCTGATGTGGCTCTCAATCGGTACCCAATTTTTTTTTATTATGTGCGAGCAGCTATGCAGGTCTAGGGAATGAGACCAGTATTACTGCGACCTAGAAGATCTATTGTGATCGCTGCTATGGCTATAATTCACGGCTAAGCCCTCTGTCTTCAATAAATTCTTCTGGGCGGAGTAGATAGTTTCCCGGATGAGTGTTACGTTTGCGCATTAAGGGTCCGCAATCGGTGAGTTCTTCCGTTATGGAACAGAACCGACACATCCTTGAGTTGCTTAGTCCCAGGATGGACATGTGCTTTTTAAGACAACAGTGTCCAGTTAGAGCTCTTGCTAGAATGCGCAATTTATTTTTACTTAATCTTAGGGTTTCTGAGGCGAATTTACGATCAAAAGCCTGGATTAAGGTTTTAGAATGTTTTAAGCCTGGTGTGTCAGACCAGTCTTAAGTGATTTATTGTGATAGAGTTTCAAGGGTCAATCGGGCTAGGCTTCTTGAGAATCCACAAAATGGCTCAGGTCCAAATTGTGTGCACTTTGAGCCCTCCCGTACTAGTTTGTCGGCAAATTCGTTGTCTACAATACCCTCGTGACCCGGAACCCATCTTAAAACGACCCTGTTGTTACATCCCAGGGCGTTTAAACGGTTCACGCAGTCTCCAACTAGCTTCGAGTTCACTAAGTTTGACCTCAGCACTAGCAGTGCTGCTTGACTATCAGAGTTTATGTAAATTATATGGTTGACGTTGTGTTTTTGCAGATTTATTTCCGCACGCCGAAGTATGGCGAAAATTTCTGCCTGGAAGATAGAGGTGTATCTACCCAAATTCATGCTAAGTTTGAATCGGTACCCTAATACACAGTTGGTTTTTTTGGGGGACTTTAATGCCTGTCATCAGGACTGGCTGTCTTAGCCTTCTCGCTGGGACTCTCTCAACTGGTACAACAAGCAACTAGGGTGCCTGATGTGGATGGGCACATAGCGAACTGCCTCGACCTTCTGCTTAAGACCGATACAGACAGGTACAAATGTTCAGGCTACTTCACCCTTGGGAACTTCTGACCACTGTCTGGTGAAATCTGTGTAATTATGTTCCCCACCGAATTACGATTTCCACGGTGTGTGGCGAGTGTGGCGATACGAGTTAGCAGATTGGGATGAGATGCGGCATTTCTTTGCATCTTATCCTTGGCAGCAGGTCTGCATCTCATCTGAAGATCCGTCGAGCTGCGCCGATACCATAACGGATGTGATACGTCAAGTGATAGAGTATTTCATCCCCTTTGCTGATGTGCCTATTGGTGGTAAAGCTCGCCCATGTTTCAATGCCGAGTGCGTACTTATCCTGTGCTCGAGACCGCAAAGCTCCGGATGTTAGCCTTGAACCAAGCCGCCAAGTCTTGCAAAAAGGTGTTACGGCAAGCCAGTTTCGACCGCATTAATCGCATCGGTACAAAGCTCTCTGTCAAACCATCTGGCAGTAGAGCTTTTTGGTCTTTTGCAAAGCGGTCGAGACAAACTTCTGTCGGTCTACACTGCCTCTGCTGGTAAAACCATATGGCTCATTGGCACATGCTCCTAAAGAGAAAGCGGATTTATTTGCTTCTCTTTTTACTTGCAGTTCACATCTGGACAGTAGCAACAGTGTACCACCTCAATTACCTCACTGCGATACCTCTATGTCAGAGATCCGTATCACCAACAAGGAAGTTGTCACAACCTTGCGAAGTCTAGATGTGAACAAAGCTAGTAGACCTGATGGTATACCGGCTATAGTTCTAAAGATCTGTGCCCTTGAGTTGTCTCCTGTCATTCAGGACTGGAATAGTGCCCAAATCTTAGAACCCAGCCAATGTGCAGCCTGTGCCTAAAAGAGGTAACCATGCTGACCCTGCCAACTATCGACCAATTTCAATTACCTCCATACGCTACAAGATTATGGAGCGTATATTGAACTCCCGCTTAATGGTATACCTAGAACAATATGACCTTCTTAGTGACCGGCAATACGGGTTTGCTGAAATCGGTCAGCCCCCGGCTTCTAGCGTATGCCACACACGTATGGGGCGAGGTATTCGAGAACAGTGGGGAAGCACTTGCTGTTTCTCTTGATGTCTCGAATGCCTTTGATTGAGTTTGGCAGGCTAGCCTTTTGAGTAAGCTAACTGCGTACGGCTTATCCCTTGGTCTGATTGAATGGATAAAGGATTTCCTGAGTGAACGATCTCTCCGGTCTCGTCGTCGTTGGCTGCTCATCCGATCCTGTAGCAACTTACGCCGGTGTTCCTCAGGGGTATGTTCTCTCCGCAACTCTCTTCCTGCTGCATATTAACGATCGCTTATGCCCGGTATCTATGGGTATGCAGACAATAGCACAGTTGTGTAGAGATATCAGCCAAGTGTTCAGGCCAGTCGGGATCAAATTCAGTCCGAAAGAGAGGCTATGATTGAGCGTGTGAAACTGACACTTCAGGCAGTCTTCGAATCTCGTGAGATTCAACGCGCGCCAAAAGACGCCTTTTAGGGTGTCTTTTCACCCTAAAAGGAGCCCGCTCACCCTGGCTCCTACTTTCCGGAATGTGTCTTGGAGTACACTGACCGCCTTCAGTTGTTAGGGGTAGAATTTTCTCCGAACCTCGACTATGGGCGGTTCATTGAGTCCAGAGCCAAAGCAGCCGCAAGGAAACTTGGTTTTCTTGCAAGGGTGCGGCGGTACTTTACGCCGGGACAGCTTCTTACCTTATATAAAACGCAAGTCCGGTCGTGCAAAGAATACTGCTGTCATATATGGACTGGTGCTGCAAAATGCCACCTGGCAGCGTTGGACTCAGTGCAGAGACGTGCTAAGAAGCTCATTGGTGACCTTGATTTGGTTAAAACGAACCTTGTCAGCCTCGAGCACAAGCGCAGAGTAGCCAGCCTCTCGGTATTTTATAGGATGCATTTCAGAGAGTGCGCAGAAATTGCATGCTTTAATTTCTCCCTCTCCTTTCCACCATCGGATTACCAGGCGGCCGGCTGGTCTTCACCCCTTTGTTGTCGATATTCTACGCATTAGAACCAAACGGTTTACTTCGACATTTTTTATGCGAAGAGCAAAGGAGTGGAATAATTTGCCGACGTCTATCTTTCCGTCCGAATACAATCTGGGCGCCTTCAATGTAAGAGTGAATAGGCATTTGTTACGCTAAGACAGTGCGATTTACCATCTAAAGCTCCATCATCACTTACCATCAAAAGCAAGAAATTTCATCCAGCCATTTAGACGTTCGGTAACATACACACAGTCAGAATAATTATGTGTATGGGAGGCAATATTACTATCAATTACAAATATAATAATAGCCTAGTAGTTTAGATTAAAGTATTGTAGATTCTAATCCACCCTTCAACTACAGTCATGAACCACTTTAAACACAAGCTTTGTAACATTAAAAAGAAAATAAAATAAACAATAAACCATTTGTGACCCACAGGTTTCAAAATTGTCATTGACTCAGACATAAAATTATTTATTGTTGCAGAATTAATGGAAATGTCTAAGGCTATGGCTCCAATGACCAAAGAAGAGTGGGAACAAAGGCAAAGTGTAGTTAGAAGAGTAATGGATGAAGAGACTGGAAGATACAGGTTATCCTATCATTCTATTACTAAATTGATTCAAAAGAAGAGGCTTGCATTGTTCATTATGAACTTATTTCTGCTTTATAATAATTGCATTCTCTTCTTTTTATCATCTTCATCAGCCTTCAAAAGTTTACACTGCTGAACATTTGGCCTGCCCCATTGGGAGTGGGAGAGCCTTAACCTCCACACTAAGGCATTTGGCTGCTGTTCCCCATAGCCTACAGCAGATATTTTACATCTGGTGTAAACAAGATGGTTATGGCTCCCATCTTTCAGAAGCCAAAGGGAAAAAAAAGAAAGATTGTTCTAACATTTCCCATAATCGTCGCTTACAACACCCACAAAACAAAAAGGTGTGATGGATGCTCTAAAGCTGCCATCACAAGGCATTGATTGCTGAATTGATTGAAACTGTTTATCTTCTAAGAGAATTTCTGGGAAATGTTTAGTTCGTTAAAATATATTCCTCTGCCTTTTCCCGGAATGACATAGCTAATATTTTTTATGATATAATCCATATATCAACTACTGCCACTGTCTATATTACTGTAATCTATATCCAAACACACTATGTGATGTCTAATAACAGTTAAGCCTTTGACTGCCATGTAGATCCTTTTGTATGGATTATTGCATTTAAGACGTGACCTACGACAGTTAGTGTTAAACACTTATTAGAAATCTAAAAAACAAATTTAAACAGCATAAAATATAAAACAACCATAGATCCTTTTTATAGCATTCTTGAAAAAGAAAAAAAAAACAGTCATAGTGTTGGAGTAGGAAGCAGGGAAATATATAATAAACTTACGATATGTGCAACCATCCAATAAATAAAATTGATTTGGAGTCTAATGTCATGATTTGTTCTTGAGATTAGAAGAAGAAAACTTCACTTGCAAAGGAATGTTCACAGTAATATTTTTCTGTTACAGTTTTGAAGGTAATTAAGTACCCTCAAACCAATTATTATTACTTTGTTTCATGTGACAACATTCTTTGGAAAACATTCATTCATTACAGCCCTACATAAGTTCACTCCTGAACATAGTCAACAACCACCTAGGAATGCTACGAAGCAGTGTCCTGAGCTACATGCATCCGTCGTCTTCCTGCATGTCTTACCAGGTCATCACTCCATCTTGGAAAACAGAATTATAATAATCTAATATCCCCAAAAATGTTACCATCCAATAATCGGGCTCTGTAAGGCTTTTTCCAAGTGGTAAGTTAACGATTGGCTTATTCGAGGCCAGTTTCTTTAAATTTATGATGGTGCTCATGTACTCAAAATAGAAAATTATCGTAATAACATAGCAGCAATTTTAAAGCAATCTCCATTGCTGTCTCTCAGTGTAGTCCTGCTTTCAGGTTAATAAAAGGCGATGGTGAAGTGTTAGAAGAAATAGTATCACGAGACAGACACAAGCAAATCAACCGGCAGGCCACATGTGCTGATGGTGCCTTCTTCCAAGCACAAACTCTTGACAAAAAGAAGTTACTCTAAGTTAAGAGTTTTTGGTAATTTATTTCTTGAGCTTTTGCTATACTCAATAAGACTATATAACTACAAGGTTTGTAGTATAGAACAAGGTGACCAGAGCAGAGCACATAAAAACCAGTAAAAACTAGCATGTAGTAAATTTTTTTTATGGAAACCATTGTAACCAAACTCATTTTTTTTTGTATTGTTATTATATTATAAAAGAGTAGTACATAAATGCCATTAAAAATTTACCCTAAGGATTTGCCAGATTTAAATTTAAAAAAATATAATCTAATATTGTATATAAAAAGTAGTTATATGAAAAGTACCCGAGGTATAATATTATATTATTATATAGTATATAACATTTTTTAAACACCTATCGCCTATCGAAGCCATATTTATCCGCTAGATAATCTTATACTTTACTTGAAAGAATTTCAGTTACTCTCAAGAACAATTCTGCCACGGAACAGTAACAAATATCATATTAGTTGAGCATGCCAATGCGTAATGTGTGTGATTGAGGTTAAGGACGCGGGAAGTGTGGTAGCCAGGATTCCGGCATTATAAAAATACAATCTGGCGAATAGCAAAATATCGATTGCTTCAGTTTCATTTTGTCAGTAGGTAATTTTCCTTTTCGTCCGTTAGGCCCGCCACATACATACGGAATTGCGTTTTGGAATTCCGAACGCAGCAAGTCCATATAAAATCAATGATCCGTCACACACCTACGGTAGTTTTCCGTACGGAATTTTGCGGGCAAAACGGGATTCCGTCTGTGTGTGGCTGATCCGATTTCCGAAACGGAATTCCGTATGTGGTGTATGGCGGGTCTAAGAGCGCCTTTAGCAATCGAAATGCAGGGACGTATTGAGGTTTTTGTTTTTATGTTATAAATAATATTATATTATAGTGTAAGTTATTTTACTGATCATATAGCCTGTTTGTGACTACAATTCCAACTGATGGTAAGTGGTGATGCAGCCCTTTACCCTTTATGACAAATCGCACAATAAAAAAAATATTTGTTCTCGCCTATAACACACAAACACGTAGTAATGGAAGGGAAAGATAGATGTTGGCAAACTAATCCATTACATTGCTGTACGCATTATGAACCACGTATTTCATCCTAATATTTAACAAATACACTAACTATTACCTAATACTAGTTGTTAGCTAATAATAATAGTTATGAAAGAAACTCGTATGATTACGTTTTGTATTGTTGTTTTACAGGAACATAAGGAAGATTTAGCTAATAAACTTTAGCTAAAAAAAGAATGTTTAAGGCGACCATAGATGGAAACATTAAAAAGTCAATTTAAAATAGACCTTAATGATTTTGACTAAAAGTCAAGTTTTGTCGTATTTTGCTTTTGCTTGTAAAACTATTGCAATACCACTTGTTCTAATTAAGCAAAAATTATTAGTTTATTGAGAATTTAATATATAATCTAATATCTATTGGTATAATTTATGTATGTCTATCATTTTTACACTATAAAATGGCTCCAAAAGACATTTATTTTTATTTTTACAGGCATATTTTTAATTACAAATCAATGACAAAACTCAACTAAAGAAGGAATATCTTAAATAAAGTATACGCGGCCTAGTATTCATCAATCTGTATATTTTTTGCTCAATGGTGTGACGTCTACAGTTATGTGACTATTAGGTATATTTAATAATTATATTTTAACGTTATGGCAAACCAAAATCGTGCGCGTGGCGCTTGCTTTGCGGCACTAGTTGTGATATATAATGTAGTTGTATTAAAGCAGTCGCACAGCTTGTACCGCTAGCGAATATGCTTGCTACGTTTTTGGTGTGGTCCAAACCTTTAAAATAATTGAGGGATCCTTTAATATGGTTGAAAGATAATGTGGAAGAATTTTTTTTAGACAAAATAAATACATTTATAATTTTTGGCACACAGTTATAACACTGGAATATAAGCATTACAGTGGTGGTTAATGTATAATAAATATAACCAAACAAATATTGGTAATTTTTTACTTTGACTTGTAACATTTTTGTTGGAGATAAAGTTACTCTTCATGTTTCATGTTATTCTTATCAGCTTATCACATATTTGTTAAAAAAATTAAAGCTTTAAAAATAACTGCATACCTAGATCGATAATGAAACTACAGCTTATTTTTTTTAATTTAAAGTTAATGAAAGACATGAACCTGAAGCCGCAAGCTGCTGTAAATAATTACAGCAGCTTGCTACATTTAAATGTACCAATATAATGATGTCCCTTAACTATGCACATAGAAAAATAAGAGATATAAATATTAATATTAACAATTTCATATTAATTTCACATTACATTGTTAATATTTTGATGCATTATTACTATCAAGAGCTTTATTTAGTAGTGTTTAAAATGGAAAAATAAAGTTGAAATATTATAAATGCGTATTTTATTCCATCCTCACGTCTTAAAATAACTCATCATCATCAGCATTACAGCCCTTCACAAGTCCACTGCTGAACATAGGCCTCCCCCAAGTAATGCCACAAAGCACTCGTCGTCAACTGAGTCGTCACTCCATATTGTAGGGGGTCGCCCTACACTACGTCTACCGGTACGAGGCTGCCACTCGAGAACCTTTCTTCGCCATCGGTTATCGGTTCTTCGAGCTATATGGCCGGCCCATTGCCACTTCAGCTTACTAACCCGACGCAGAGAAACTCCGAGCATAGCCCTCTCCATAGCTCGCTGAGCGACCTAGTGTCCTCATACGGCCAGCAGTGAAGGACCACGTCTCAGATCCGTAAATGCACTGGTTGTACAATCTAATGCTTAAATTAACTAATATTTTAATTGTAATATAGTAAAATTAAGTATGATATTAGCTCTAAAACAACCGACAGAGTAAAACTTATCTCTTTACCAATTTAGTTCCCTCCAACCAAATTGTTGGTTTATGTGTCTGGTAAAATGATTATTACCGTGTCTCTGACACTCTCACCTAACCATCCTGCGATCTTATCGCATATCCGTTATATCGCAAATATAGGTTTAATTTGGCGGCTCAAGCGCAGTGGTTAAGCATTTGGCTGAGGTGCTAAAGGTTGTGAGTTCGAATTGCACACGGAACTAGTGTTTGTGTGGCTTATACCGGGCTGTATATATTTTTGTCCAGTTTGCTAATCTTAGTTTAACTTTAAAAAATATTGTAACTATAAAATTCTCCTTCGAAGGTTTATAGCTTCCGATTATTCAGTTTTCGCTGATGTCAAAAATTCGCCGTTATCACTTTGAAATTAAAAAATTTGTAGAAATAAATTGAACTTGGTTTTTTCGTTCTATTTTTTTAATATTTTATCGGTGGTTACAATGTTTTTACGTTTTGCCAGCAGTGCATTCAGCTCACTTAAATATTTTATTTTAATTTTATGCACTGTAAGACTTTTTTGCAAAAATGATACTCATTGTAATTTAATAATTTATCTATTTTTCTACCTATTTACAATATTATAGTTCATCTTTGGTTGGGGCTTTTTCTTCACTTGGCTTCTTATCTTCATCTGACGAATGCGTCTTGTTCTGAAGATGCTCGTTCACCAGAGTGATCAGACTCTCCAATGGCCTTCCGCCGTGTTCTACACTCACTATTTTCTTATGCTTGTAAAGGACTAGAGTGGGAAGACCATTAATCTGTAAAAAGTAGGGGATACTGAACATCATCTATGTTTAGAAATCAGTGATAAATTGATTGTGAAACTAGAGATAGAAATCGAGAAACATTAGCCCCAAGTGTTTAGAAGAGAACATACACGCATAAACATACTTACAACACTTAGAATTGGACTAGAAACTATAAAACGTAAGAATGTGTTGCAATTTTTACTTCCATACAGTCGTCATCGGTTTGGATATGATTCATTTATTTTAATATAAATTCGAAATGTTTAACACCATCTACCAGAGACTAAAAAATCTCCCAGGCATTTCTCAAAGATACCTCTTAAGAAGATCAGTAGCTGCTCTTTGATTGTCGTACAATATACAAAAACGGATATGTTTAAGTCGACGCATATCTAATCATCTAACCATATGTACCTTTTCCATCTCACAAATATTCTTCGAGCGCACGCAATCGATATCCGCTATCAGCACACGACTTTCGTTCTGAAACCTCTCTCCGAGTTTCAACCACAGTGGATTGAGCTGCATACAATGCGCGCACCTGGATAAAATTGAACCTTATTGTAATATACTTAGGCCTGCTAAGTAGTTAAGCAGGAATAGATAAGAGCAGAAATGGTACATATCCAGACAGACTGCCAAACAAGAAAGAGTTCAGTCCTTTTCTAGCAGTAGTAAACCTAGGTATGTGTTACTGTTACTGTATGCAAGCAGTTATACAGACAGTCATACGTTATATTATTCCATATAACTCTATCCGCCTTATTATGAAGAGAAGTTTTTTAATTCATCTCTTTTTTTATAGGATAGGATGACAAACAAGCACACAGTCCAACTGAGGGTAAGTGTTTGCTGTGACCTAAAGACATCTACATCTATTCTCGATTAAGAATCAAAATGCAGATGCGTTGTCACCCCTGAGGACTAAGATGGAATGCCTCTATTCCAGTAAAAACGGGTCTCCAGTTCTCTACACACCATACAAAACATAGCAGCATTAAGCTACTATTTCACACTGGTATTCTGTGAGAGCGTGGTCTTTCCCCGTTCAAGAATACAACAATACTAATAATATAACTGCAGCATGGCCTTACCACATATAAAATTGTTTAGGGATTTAGAATTTTCATGTCACCTGCATTCATAAGTTGTATTTTGCAATGGTGAGAACAAGTGGAAATATCGTTTATAAAAACTGAAAACAACAATGGGTCGAGTAACGATTCCTGCGGAATGCCAGAAGGTATAAACATAGCTTTAGAAGAATAGCCACCGAGAACAACAGTTTGGCATTTGTTTTCAATGTAAGAAGAATCCATCGCATCCATCGATTTCCACGGTCGAGACGACCCATTCGTGCTACAACTATGCTACTAATATAGCTGTATCTGTAACTAGAATCTGTTCAATGAGAAAAGTCCGGCTCGAAAACGCGAACTAAAATGTTTGAAGTTTGACAGCAAATATCACATTTTGCGAAAAGACAGTGGCGTCGCGGCTAAGGGAGTTCTATAATTAACAGGACTGTTGTGTCTTAAACTATAGTGTATGTGAAAAACTATCTGATGTGTCTTAAACCATAGTATAATCCCGATATTCTACTTTTCTTAATAAATCAGTATCAGTTCTACTTTCATGGTAAAGAGGAAATATGAAATAAGTGGATAAGAATTAAATATATGGGTACGTCTTATTGGCATAAGAGGTGACAGAGAGAAACTGAACCAGGAGATGGGCAGCAGCATCTACCTGATAACAGCTGAGCAAAAATAACAAAATTTGTTTGCAAATCCGAATGCGTGGCAACTATGAAAAAATCGCCCCGAAGAAGCAATTGATAGGCTGTAATGGTACGTCTTGGTGATCGCAGTACCAGATAAGATAAAACTGGTACCTTTGATACCGGTGCCATCGCCAATCTGTTTATTTTATGCATATACTTGATGGTATAGCACTATCTGTTGGAAGTCATAAAAATGTTAGTGGCCCTTCCCATAGTCACCAGTATATAAAATATAACATCAACAGAACAAAACGACGTGAACTGAACTCACTTACGCCATTACAACACCAAACAAAAAACGTAAAAGTTAGATATGCATCACCATCATCATTATTATTACAGCCCTTCACGAGTCCAGTGCTGAACATTGGCCTTCCCCAATAGATGCTACAAAGCATGGTCCTGAGCCATCTGCATTCATCCAGGTCCCTTCATTTAGCTGGTGGCGCCACCCTACACTTCGCTTACCATTATGACTCCGCCAATATGCAACGCAACTTACCATGGAGCAAAATAGTTTATGAAAACCAAATCTTTTTCTAAAAATGTTTCAAATGTCTCGTCAGTTATTCTGGCAACTGGTAGTGCTTTCTTTTTCTTCATGAACTTCTCTGGGTCATGATTTTCAGCCAAGACCATCTTGTCAACAAATGCCTTGAGGTCATCTAAGGTTTCTGCTTCAGCTATGCCCATCTGAAAATAGATCATAAGCTTAAACAATTACTTATGTAAAACATATTTCTTTATGTCTAAGGTATGATAAAACATTAAAAGATGTGTAGTCTGAAAGTAAATCTAAACGACACTCAAACTCCACAAAGTCAAAATTTGAGTCTAAGCTATATTATTGTTGCGTGCCACAGTTGATGGCACTAGCGCCATCTGGTATCAAGTATCTGAAACAGGAGTGTCAAGATCTTTCTGGAACTGTCCCAACAGCGCCATCTAGTAAAAAATTGAAGAATTAAAATATTAAATATAATAAATATTATAGAATTTCTAGAAAGCCCCATACTCGAACTTTCTGCGCCTGGTCGGTCGGCACCCGTATTTACTGGTATATTCTGGATGTTTCGGTGGAAGACCCCTATATAAAGCCATTGATAGCCGCGATCGCAGCAGTATTGAATTTGGCGAGACAAGCAAAGCTTCGGAGCGAAATAAATTGATTCAGTGTGATTAACTATTAGTGTCTTTTAAGTTTTAATTGGTGTTCGGTAATTAACGACACCTACCACGAACCCTAAGCTCGTAACAATTGGTGTCAGAAGTGGGATCAAATCATGCCGATTTTACCGAAGGACGACACGGAGGGTGTCCGTACCCGAAGTCAACGCCAGCAGGAGACGGACCAGAGAAGATTTGGTGGTGCAACGCCGCAGACGGCGGAGGCCCAACTACCAGCCACGGAGGTTGGCCCGTCAGCATCTCCTACACCCGCAGCACCTGGCTTAGGTGCTCTCATGATGATGCTGCAGGAGCAGGCTCGCCGACAGGAGGAACAGTCCCGTTGGTTGAAAGAGCTGCAGGAGGAACAGGCCCGCCGACAGGAGGAACAGACCCGCCAGCAGGCGGAACAGGCACGCCGACTGGAAGAGCAGCTGCGGGGCGGACAAGAGGAATAGGCCCGTTGGTTGAAAGAGCAGCAGGAGGAACAGGCCCGCCAGCAGGCGGAACAGGCACACCGATTGGAAAAGCAGCTGCGGAGCGGACAAGAGGAACAGGCCCATCGGTTGGAAGAGCAGATGCTCCTCATGAAGGACTTTCACGCTACTTTCGGGAAGGAGATAAAGGAGGTGAAGGATAGGGTTGCTTAACATGACTACCGCCTGTCGGAAGCTGAAACCCGAATCGACCAAGTGAACAATCGAGTTGAACGTAATGGCTGACATGAGAAAAACACTTGAAGAACTCAAACTTGGGGAACGGGAACAACAGCTCCCGTAGTAGCTACAACACCTTCGCTACGTGGGTTCAAAGTGCCGCCGTTCGACGGGAATTCTTCCTGGTCAGCCTACAAAATCCAGTTCGAAGCTGTTATGAAGGCGAACGGCTGGAATAAAAGTCAGGCCATGACTGCTCTTGAGATGGAGAAGATGGTTCGAAAAGCATACCAGTCCGTACCTGCACTCATTGAAGGGAACATGGTGCAGGCATTCATCGACGCCACCTCCGAGACCTTAAAGTCAGAGCTGCTGTGAGGCTCGGACACCACGTGACGCTTAAGGAAGCCTTGGCTCATGCACTGGAGGTTGAAGCCGTGCGGCAGGATCATCGATCTCATTGCATGAGGGAGGTTGCAGCAGCTACAGTTCGCGATCGCAATATTGGATACAGCCCTTGGTGCTATGGCTGTGGGAAAAGGGTCCATCTTCGGTCCAGCTGCCCTAAGCGAACTGTAGAAAGGGAAGTTGATCGATCTCGAAAGGATGGTGCGGCTAACGACACCGCCCAGCAGCGGCATGATCATCGTTCTCCTTACGTCAGGGAGGTTCCAGCACCTATAGTCCGCCACCACAATAAAAGTTACAGCCCAAGGTGCTACGGCTGTGGGGAAAGGGTCCATCTTCGACCCAGCTGCCCTAAGCGGTCTGTAAAAAGAGAAGGTGATCGATCTCGAAAGGGTAGTGCGGCTAACAGCAGCAGGAATACGACTTTACTATCGGACACTGCAGCGGGAAATGGCGTGGCAACACAGAGGCATCGTCAAGAAGACCTTATCCTGATAATTGCGAGAATAGTACTAGGCAAGAGCATAAGGAAGTGGTATCTGTGAGGATTCTCAGGACAGACCACCTCAGAAACGAATGGGAGGACAGCCTACGACATACACAGCAGGAAGATTCGGACATCAAGCCGATTCTGGATTAGATGAAGGCCAGTGCCCTCAAGCCCAAGTGAAGCGACGTCTCAGCGATGAGTTCGACCACTAAAAGCTATCGGGCCCAATGGGACAGCTTGCTGCTTCAGGATGGAGTCCTGTGCCGTAAATGGGAAAATGGTCGAGGAGACAGCTGTCGTTTGCAAATGGTTGTCCCTAAAGCTAAAGTGCCGGATGTTCTACAGCTGTACCTAGCATGAGAGCAGTCATGGCCTGACTTTTATTCCAGCCATTCGCTTTCATGGCAGCCTCGAACTGGATTTTGTAGGCCGATCAGGAAGAAGTCCCGTCGAACGGCGGCACTTTAAACCCACGTAGCGAAGGTGTAGTAGCTACTACGGAAGCTGTATTTCCATCCCCAAGTTTAGAGTTCGTCCAGCGTGTTCTTCAATTGGTTGATTTGGGTTTCAGCTTCCGACAGGCGGTTGTCATGTTGAGCAACCTTATCTTTCACCTCCCTTATCTCTTTTCCGAAGGTAGCGTGAAGGTCTTTCATGAGGAGCATCTGCTCTTCCTTATCGCGTTGGAGCTGCTCTTCTAAACGACGAGCCTGTTCCTCCTGCCGGCGGGCCTGTTCCTCCTGTCGACAGGCCTGTTCCTTCTGTCAGCGAGCCTGTTCCTGCAGCATCACCATCAGAGCACCTAAGTCAGGTGCTGCAGGTGTAGGAGCTGTTGATGGGCCAGCCTCCGTGGCTGGCAGTTGACCCTCTGACGTCTGCGGCGTTGCACCACCAAATCGTCTCTGGTCCGTCTCCTGCTGGCGTTGACCTCGGGTACGGAAACCCTCTATTTCGTCATTAGGTAAAATCTGCGTAATTATATCCCACTTCTGACACCAATTGTTACGAGCTTAGGGTTCGTGACAATAAAAACCGCCGATTGAATTACCAAAATAGACACTTTAATTACTGATCACCAATTAAAGCTTAAAAGACACTAATAATTAACCACACTGATTCATTTTGTTTCGCTCCGAAGCTTCGCTTATATCGCCAAATTCTATACTGCTCCAATCGCGGCTATAAGCGGCCTTATATAGGGCTCTTCTACCGAAACATCCAGAATATTTCAGCAAATACGGGCGCCGACCGACCAGGCGCAGAAAGTTCGAGAGTGGACCCTTCTAGAAAGCTTAATTCTTCTGTTCGATACTAGATGGCGCTGTTGGTAGAAAGTTCAAGATTGGCATTTTCTAGGAATCCCTCCTCGCTCTGTTCCCCGACACTAGAGATAGATATATAAAAATCGATTCCTGTCCATTAGTTTCGCAAAAATCGAAAATGGCTGAAACGATTTTGATGAAATTTTTATGTTCTATATATGTATATCACTAGATGGTTTAAATTTAATATTGGACCCGGTAGGCGGCGCCGTTGTCGAGATCCAGAAATCACCCGTGCTAAGCCGTGGTGGATCGCTAGTTATCTTATAAAAAATTGATAATAATAAAATCTAGCAATAGAATATACAAAAAAAGGTAGAAAACTATTAAACACATGACTAATTTTTTTGAATTTGGTAACAAAGAAGCACAACATACATGCTACTAATTTAAACTAATAAAAAATTCAAAAAAATATGATCCTTCCCCAGCAGAGCCTACCTGATCGTGCTAAAGCTTGCTGTTGTATCGTCGTTCTACCTTATATACCGTCAAGTCAAAATACCGTCCACTTACAATCCTCCCATTGACAATCCATAGAAGATGTGGATAATGTTTGATATCGAAATTTATGCAGGTCATCTCATTGTCCATACAGTTCACCTTCCCCACTTGTATGTACTCGTTATGAGCGTATTGGACTGCCAATTCTGCCCATATTGGCGCTAGTCTCTGAAATAAAATAAAAAAACATAATTCAAATAAAACTACCATTGTTAGCTAGTTAGGAGCCACTGTTGCCACATTTCGCAGCTTTGACGATGCTTATGGCCACAACTCTTCTCGGCGGACAATGATACGCCGCTGCCAGCAACAAAATAGCTTTAAATAGTTTAGTGATAAGGAGATATCAAAGATAAATATTTCAGTCACTTTTTTCCACTTGTCAACCGGACTGCAACTGGTGCACCATGTTAATCCCACAGAACATTAAAAGCCTATGTTCAGCAACAGATTTAAAGTTATAATGTAATTAATGTGTGTTGTGGTTTTATAAGGAAAACGGGATGTGATCGCCACCCATTCTCGTTATGTTAATAGGCTTTTTATACTTGGTAGAGCCATGCTGCAGTTATATTAGTAGTATAGTTGTAGCACGAATGGGTCGGCTTGACCGGGGAAGGACCACGCTCTCACAGAATACCAGCGTAAAATAGTAGCTTAATGCTGCTGTGTTTCGTATGGTGAGTGTAGAGAACCGGAGGCCCTTTTTACTTTAAACGAGGCATTCCATCTTAGTCCTCACGGGTGACAACGCATTTACATTCTGACTGTGTGCTAGCTTGTCACCCTATCCTATAAAAAAGGCTTCATTGCTACCTGGCACTTTTATTGAAGGATGAATTCCTTATAGCCTATGAGTACTAAACATAGCACTCCTCCAGAGATTGACTTATAGAAGGGATTGATTTGCTCTAGCTGTCAGTCTAGACAGGTGGTACTTTTAAATAAAATATATTTAACACTTTCATGCTATTTGTATCAGACAAGTATTCCATATCCATCCATTCATAACAGTCTACAAACGAAAAGTCCACTGCTGCACATAGGTCTGCTGAACATAAGCCCTCCATAGATTATCTTGTACAATGGGTTTAGCCATAGTCCCCACGCTTGGCAGGCGGGTAGACTACCGCAGTTTTTTTATTATTTTGGGATGTTATCAGAAAGATGCTGTTACCCATCTCCTGTTTCAATTTCCCTCTATCGCCTCTTACGACACCCACGGGATATGGGGTAGTGTGTGTTCATACACCGCTACTAAACGCATGCAGGAAAGTATCAATTCCTCATAATGATATGAGACTGAAAGCCTCTAACTGCGTTGTTTATATGCCACGCGTGTATGATATGAAATACTTTAATTCAGCTATGTCACTGCTGCATGCTTTAACAATATGACATTGCTTGTGTTGCAACAAATATGTGGAAGGTGCTGCAAAATGAAGTGAGCAGGGTCTCATTTTCGCAACACAGTCCACGCAAGCAGGTTTCTGTCACTATAACTCCCTGCTCAAAGTAAATACCTATAATCGGGCAGAACCTCTAGTTACATACGCAGCCAGGGCTAGCGTTTTAGACGAACGACGTAATAGTGAATTTCAAAGTTTTTTTAACATTATTTATGTAAATAGATTTTTGTAAATACTTGTATAAACATTTTTATTTATTGTTTAGTATATTAAGTTACGGGATAAAATAGTTGTATAAGTTTTAGTGTAATTTATATGTATAAATACATTTATTAACAATTTTGAATTCTTTTTATTAAAAAATAATAATAAAAATTTAAATAAAAAGGCTATAAAAACTACAAAAAAGGAGTAGGGTAAATTAAGAAAGAATACTTAGTGTCAATTTAGTCATCAGTAAATCATTAATGCTAGTCCAATAAACTACAATATAAATGACCTTAAGTCCTTACCTGTGAAGCTTTACACCAAGGTGCATAGAACATAACAAAATGTTGCCCTTTAGACACAAACTTCTCAATATTTTGATCTGTCAAATATGCCATGCCACTATATATTTTAACTTCAGTAGATGCCTTTTCTTTTTCCTTGAGATGCTGAAATGAAAATAATTAATAAATATATTTCTGCATTGACAGGAACTAAGATCATATAATTTTGATAGTTTCAATGTATTAAACAAATGGAAAAACTAGATGAACCTCGCGTTTGCATTTTTCTTTTTACTTTTGTAAGAAAAAATAATAAATTTTCAGACAAATTACAAACCCAAAAGACGAAACACGTAATAGAAATATGAGTGTGCCTAAAATATATTTGGGTTTGTTTATCTGAGATATATGTGGGTGTGTTTTTTTCTATTTCCTTTTTTTAATGTGTATGTTTGTAAGTGGCCTTTGTGAATTTCTGTAGTATAAATCTTGTCTCTAGTGTCACATGCTATATTATTTGACAATAAAGCAAAAAAAACTACACATGATGTTCTTTACATTCTCTATTTGTCTAGAATAATTAATTAAAATCGGTTCTTTATCTGCGTAGATTATGAAATTCCTTAAACAATAATCTAATATGAAACTTTTTACCCTATTTTCCACCCCTGGAGGGGGAGGGGGACAGAATTTTTTCTTCAAAATTTAATGTGCCCACCCTTGAGGTAAAGTCAATTTAATAAAAAAGACACAAAATCACATAATCTATATGTAACTTATCAAAACAATGTTTGTTATTCAAATTTCATAAAATATAAGTAATAATTACCTCGGATCTTGAAGTAAAAACTTCACTAAGAAACAATGTCAAGGATGGCAGATCTCTGGAACCCTTGTATTCAAAAGGTGAAAATGAATTCTTATGGTAATACATCAATGTAGGGTAGCCTAGAAATTACAACATTAATGTAAGTACACAATGCATTGAAAGAAATATTCAAAAAGTTTTGGGAAAAGTGTTTACAAAAAAAGAAGCTTTTGACGGCTCCGTGGTGCAGTGGCTTAACAGTGAGTTACGGCTTGTGGGTGCTGGGAAAGTAATTGTTCCCGGTCTGGATATTTGTCCTTCTCCAATTGATGTATGTAAACCGCCTCTACAATACAGGGGAAAACCCTAGTGATGAGGTAACATCTTTTCAAAAAAAAAAGATAAGTTAATTACCAACATATATATATATATATATATATATATATATATATATATATATATATATATATATATATATATATATGGGCATATCTGCTTAATATATAATGATAAAATTGCTCATATTAAAAATAACGGATGGAAATAAAGCTCAAAGTTGGGAATATCAAAAAATATCGTATTTAAATTTACGTATGAAAACAACCAATTAGAATACTTATTAAACAACATATTGTTGCGCGCCTAAGTTGATGTCTGGTACCTGGCACTAGCGCCATATATCAATAGCGACTATAAATCAATAGCACGCTACAGACTATAGACTATAAATTTCTAGTGCGCTATTTATATAAAAAAAAAAGTGTGTAGGAGGCCGGCAAGCGCGTTAAGTTTTGCAGCACACTATATCTCGGAGCACGCTACATGTTGTTCATTGGATAGACCGCGTGTTATGAAAGGACACTGTTTCGTAACAAGTCGTATTTTAGATTAAAATAAAATAAAGTGGTAAAGAAAAATCAATGAACGTTCTTTCATACTTTTCAGGCTTACGACTTTCTAACTTTCTATAATCCTAAAAATAATTGATGTAAACGTTATTGTAACCTTAATATAAATTATAAATCAATAAAGGTGTATTTAAAAGTTTATTGATTGTATTTATAAAAATAAACTATTTACAAACACTATTATATACACTTTTGTATCTATATTTTATTTACATTTAAAAACATTAGTTAGGCTTCTTTTGTAGCAGACAACCTGTGTCCTTCGATCACTTGTAAATATACAGTATACACTAACTAAATAACGTCTAACACAAAATTTGTTCGCGCCCGATGAATAGCGTGCTGCTACATTAAATTTGCGTCACACGTCACACGTCTACTCCCAACAGCGCTGCTGCTAGAACTTATTGCCGCTTGATATGAATAGCGCCAAAGCGTCATAGCGTCATAGCGCCATGGCGACTACTTACATAGCACGCGCTATGCGTTTATGAAGAGATAGCACGCTATAATATGGCGCTATCCGCTATATTAACCACCATTAATCTAGTGTCGGGGAACAGAGCGAGGAGAGCTTTCTAGAAAATGCAATGTCTGAACTTTCCACTAACAGCGCCACCTAGTATCGAATAGAAGATATAAGCTTTCTAGAAAAGTCCACACTCGAATTTTCTGCATCTAGTCGGTCGGCAGCGGTATTTGCTGGAACATTCTAGATGTTTCGATGGAAAACGTCCAATATGAAGCCGCTTCGGGCCGCGACCGGGGCAGTATTGAATTGGCGATACGAGTGAAGCTTTCGTAGCGAAATAAAGTGAACTAAAGTATTGTTACGAGCTTGAGGTTGGTGACAATAAAAATTGACGATAGAATTACCAAGATTAACTCTTTAATTCACTTTACACTAATTAAACTTAAAACACTAATAATTAATCACACTGATTCACTTTATTCCGCTCCGAAGCTTCGCTTGTCTCGCCAAATTCAATACTTCCCCGATCGCATCTTGCAGCGCCTTTAAATACACATTATTAACGAAACATCCAGAATATTCAAGTAATTACGCGCGCCAATCGACTAGGCGTCGAAAGTTCGAGTGTCGGGCTTCTAGAAACTTAGTTCTTCGTTTCGATACTAGATGACGCTGTCGGTTGAAAGATTAGTGATGTCATTTTCTGGAAAGCTCCCCTCGCTCTCATCCCCGACACTAGATGGCGCTAGTTCCGGATACATGACGTGAACTTAGGCGCGCAACAGTATTAAGTGTGATTAATTATTTGTGTGATTTAAGTTTTAATTGGTGTTCAGTAATTAAAGTGTCAATTTTGGTAATTCAATCGGCAGTTTTTATTGTCACGAACCCTAAGCTCGTAACAATATAATCAAAAAAATGATGATTGTGTAACAATATAATAAAAAAATGATTAAAATTTCAAGCTAAATTATTACATGTAAACGCATAAAACATATCACATTTTTGATGAAGTTCCACACATTTTAACAGTCCACAAAAAAGAATGACGAACTGTTATCTTCACATTCTTTTTCTGAATAATTTGTTGCAATTGTATAGATAGAATTTTACTGTCATGGATGACAAATTTCAAATAAGACCATCTCTTATTTTTTTACTGTATTATTAACATCTCTCTTTAGCGCTTTATATGTTTAAATCGAACAATGTCGTTCCGTGACTATAATCACCATGGACAGCTAATGCAAGAATTTTTGTGGCGACTACAGTCACTGTGGACGCTTGGGTGAATAGAAGTGTGATTTGAACTAGAAAAATAACAGCACTAAACTTATATATTGCTGTAAAGTAATTATTTGAAAATGAAAAGAAACATTTACAAGAATTAAAATCTGTAATATCTTCATCTGATCACCATAGTTTTTTTGACTATCTTCTACATTAAGATCTCAGCTGAAGCTGACTGAGGGTTTTACTAAGAATGTATTGGGTGCGAAAGATTTACGGATGTTTATTCATGTTATTTCTTACTAAAAAAATAAGTAAAATTATGTATTTTAAATGTAACAACTTTAAACTTTTACAACCATTAATTCATACACATAATTTAAAATAATTCATCTGAAATCCAAGCTGAAATTTCAACTGTGGGTAACTACACAACATGCACAACTTAACAGTGCACTTTGCTGGAATGCAACATCTCTCCCTACTTTTATATTTATTTTGTTTGTTTATTTATTATTATCATACAGACTTTAACTATGAAAATGTATATGTTGAATAAACAAAACAAACAAATAGAAATGAATGTTGCAAACTGCACTGTTTGTAGTTTTAGGATAACCAAAAGGTAAAAAATAGGAAATTTTAAATTCTATATCAGAAGATGATAAGAATGTTGTAAAATGATTAAAATCAATATGGCTAAAGAATTAATTCAACCAATGAGGGCTAATAATCTTCTGCTCACCAGATGTCGCTAGTTGACACTGACGTGAAGTTTTTTGTTACATAACATCATTTAATTGAGAAGTTACTTTTACATAAAACTTTATCAGTTCCTAGAATATTATATTAATACACAAAACAATGCCTCTGTGGTTTGTTCTTTAAATTTTTGCACATTATTAACATTTTTTTTCCTTTTTTATATCTGAGGTTTGGTTTATTTATTTATAATCTAATTAATATAAAATAAAACTAATGGTACAGAAAGAAACATTAACCTTAACAATTTTCGAACGAATTAACTTCCCCACTATGAAATCTGTCAAATATTACACCTCATTTTAAGTGCTCCACTCTGGTGGCAGAAAAGTCGTTGTCTTCATTAGAGCGTTTCCTAAAATTTTTGCGCGAGAGTTTTTTTTCTTGTCCAATGTTTTTAAGTTAACTATATTCCGTGTTTAAATTTATCTAAGTATTGAAAAAACACATCGTTATATAATACTTCACAAATATTCAAAATCGTTATATAAATATTCAAAATAAGGCAATGACGTGAGGATGATGATGAATGGTTTATGATTTGGTATTGTTACCAATCATCATGTCGCCTTTTTTTGAGCTATCTAACTGCTGTCCAAGGGGGGGAGTGCAGACCCCCATCTCTGACTGCTCAGATCAAGTATTGTGTACATTTAAGTGAAAACAATGGTGTATAATTGAATTAGTAATATTATAATAGAAGATAAATTTAATATGTCACTGAAGATTATAATAAAGTGTCGTTTAAGTATATTCTTATAATAAAAAATATTTTTCAGACTGCGACCCATCAATTTGTGACTTCAGTTTTGGTTACTTTTGTAGGATAACATATGTGTGGAAGATAAAGTAAGAAAAAAAGAATTTTTGAAACTGAGTTTATACTGTGCATTTTAACCGCGTTCCAAAAAAGGAGGTTCTCAATTCGGCGCGTATTTTTTCATGTATGTTGAAGTTGCATTGCTCATCTGTTTCGTTGTTCCTTTAGATGCTCACTCGACTTCAACATACAAGAACAAACAAAAAAACATTTAATACTTTATAGTGGCATTGGAAGTCAAAAATTAATACGAGTTATTTGGTAAGTAAATAATTATCCATTATTTAGAATTTGCATGTAATCCTTTCGTCCTCTTAACAAAATAAGGGGGACCATCGAAAATACAATAATTGTTTTCTTCGTCCCACCAAGGAAGACAATGGTGGGGGGGGGGACGAATGGAAAATACAGTTATTATATAATAAGCTATAAATAAATTTGTGTAAATCCTTAAAATGTTACTCAACGTGTAGATGCAGTTTTATAATTCCTACTTTGTTACTGGTAATTTTTTTTTTGTTACTGTCCTATATATTTTTGTTCTATCTTTCATCAGTAATTCTGTTAAATTTACATTAAAATATAAAGAAGACACTATTTAAAGCAGATTATAGTATTATTATTTGTTATAGAGGATAGAAAAACTGGATTTAATTTAGTATATTTTTCGAAAAATCACAACTTTTTATACAGCTTGTTTAAAAAGCAACAAAACAGAAATGGTGTTAATTGAGCAATTACAATTTTTAAACTACATTTATATTATTTTTGATTATAAGGAAGTTTCTTAGCCTATGTTGTTTATATTTAATACAAATTTACAATGATTGCTTGTGGTTTTCATTACTAATTTCATTTAGTTCTAAGTAACAAAATCAGAAAGCTATCAAGCAATTCTGTCTGCTATTTTGGCAATTTTTTAATAAAATCTCAGTTATTTAATAAAAACAATGATTGATTTCGATTTTCTATGAGCATATATATCTTTTGCAACCAATACAATTATATTTTTAGACCCAAACAAAACATTAGGACATTTTCAAGTTGAGCAAGAACATGTTTGTATATAATATCTAAAAAAAGTTTTTATTTTATTTTCAAAATGTTATAAAAATATAATTCCCTGTGGCTTTTATAATGAAGTTACAGCCTACATACGTCCCACTGCTGGGCACAGGCCTCCCCTCATTTCTGAGAGGGTTTTAGAGCAAGGAAGTGTCCGCCGCTCTGCCCCAATGCGTGTTGGCAAACTTCACATGTCTTCGAAGTATTTTTTTTCCTTATCCTCAGACATACAGGTTTCCTCACATTGTTTTCCTTCACCGCCACAATATAATACATACACAAGCACTTAAAATTGCAATCAACAATTTCATTGGTGCTGGCGGGGATCGAACTTGGGTTATTCATGTTCTGTTATATTTACAGCAAGCATTAACCATCTGAGCTGCCACGGCACTTCTGTCTGCATCTTTTTTAAAATCTTATATTATTATTTGATATATAAAAAAGTTAGAAGTTACTCTACTGCTAAAACTAATTAACTTGACCCCATAAAATAACAATTAAGTAAATTAATAAAATAATATGATGTTGAGTTCCATTTAAACATTGTATTAAATATTTTTAATTTTTTCTACTTAAATAATTAGGTAAGAAATCCTGTAAGTTAATGTTACTTGAACAGTAATAAAGTACCTGTTATGTCATTTTCCTGGCAAAGTTGAGAATGCAATGTACAATCAACTTGAGCTATTGCAAATTTTGAATTTTTTGTATTTACAAGTTCTGCTAATTCTGACCATATTGGTTCAAACTCAGTACAATGGCGACACCTGCAAAAATATTTTTAAGGACAGAGCAGGAGCAGAGATTGAAGCAAACATGCATTCATTGATTAAGAGTTTATCAATATGCTTACCATGGAGCATAAAACATAATGAAATTTCCGTCCATATCTTCAATTTGTCCCTTAAAATTATGTGGATTATATTCGTAGACAGCTCCATCCTCAGGTGTAACAAAGCGGGGCAAAAATATTATGAACATGAAAAATAATGTTGGGGATGAACTAGCCCTCATTTTAACGATTTGTAAATAAACTTCACTTATTTTAAATGTTCTTTTCAATAACAAAATCTTTTAAAATCGTATAAAATGATTTATAACACTGTTCCAAAAAATAGTATGATTTTGTGATATCATAATCACAATCTCATAAAACGTAGTATAATTTACATAATTTATTAGAAATCACCGAAATTTCGTCCGTGACTCCGTGGTCCGTGATAATTGCAATCACAGAAAACCCCATCACATACTCCATAGATTACTGTATATAATTGCAATACCCAATCATCGATTCGATTCGACTACGGGTTCCCGATTATATTAGCTAGCTTATCTATGAGTCTATGACTACGGGCATAGAACATAGATAAACAAATATGTAGCTAGAGTTGTGCATGCTTGCGTGTTTGCAACACCCAAAGACTCAAACCCAGTACTACCAGGTTACTTTCACAGAATCGCCATAATTAAAGAAAAAATGTACAATATGTGTACTAACAATAAAACCGCTAAATTCCTTCAATATTTTGTAGGTTAAGTAAATTAGACTAGAAACTATTTTAACATTTTTAATGCTCCTTGGAATATTCTTAATATCCGTGCACTAAGTACTTATAACATTGCTTAATAGCAGCATCTTAATGCTGCTATTTCGTATTCGCGACGGTGCGGCGAGCATTTTGCGTACTGCGTCTACTATACAGGGCAGGACGCGCGGCATCGGTGGATATTTGCAGTCAGTCGTACGAATGATAAGCGAGCTTACGGTAGTGTGACAATAGCTCCGATGAGAAATTATTTTTATTAATGTTGTTGGATAAGGATCGAGAAAATATTAAACTTTGCAAACATAGTATGGGTTCACGATATATACAAGAAAAGAGGATGTTGTGGTGAATTTCATCACTTATTCTATGACCTGAAGAATGATTCCGAATATTGTTGAACTAATGATTTAAATAATGTAAATACATACGTCCCGCTCACTGCAATGTACTACAAATGCTGTGATCCATGAGTCTACCGGAAGCGGGGTGGGCAGGGCATGGTCGAATCGACGGAAAAATACGCTCGCCAAGCGATACGCTGACAGATTCCGTCACGGTCTGACCCACCCCGCCTCTAATCGACACAGTTTCATACAAAATGTATAGCAAGCGGATTTTTGCGTTGCAATGCGACCCGATGATGCCAGCCTGATAGATCTAGAGTCCTTTCCCACTAGAGCCGACCCATTCGAGCTACAACCATAATAGTTGCAGAGTGGCTCCATCACTTAAGAATTTAAGAGAATGAAGAATAAGTTGTACATAGAGACATAGTCTTTTCTCCTGTTTTTAACTTTCACGGCTCTAGAACATTAATCGTGATATATTGATAATGGCTATAAGAGGATTTCATAAAACTGCTAGAATCTGTTAAATTCATCAATTTGTTAGAAAAATCGTGGCACGTCTTTTTAATTTAATAATTTCAAATTCCGCTTTAATTGCAGTTTCTTGATAAATAACCCTGCCCAAACTGGAATCATAATCTTGTAGATTTTTCTACATACATATTGTAAATGTAAGTTTTTTAATAGTCAAGTATAAATAGATAGAATATACATAGGTTAATGTAGTGGTGCCAGAATACACACAACTACATATTATCCTGTGCATGTCATAAAAGTTGGCAGAGGGCAGCTGAAAAAGAAGATGGGCAGTATTATCTTCGTGATAACTAACGAAAATATTAAAATAACTATATTATATAATTTTCGTTGTCATCCCACCTGCCAAGCATGGTAAATATGGCACATTCTGGCTTATTAGGCAGTCTATCGGCGGGGCCTAACTCCGGGTGTGGTTGTGAACTTTTAGATAGGCTCTAATCAATTAAAGGATGAATGGATAAAATTACTCCGAATAACCATTTATTTTAGTTGTGTGAAGCTTATTATAAATGTTATCAATATAATTTGTAAATGTTATTAATATTTTACTTTATTATATATTTAATAGTGCTATTATACCAATAGTAATATAATCTAAATCTTTTTTATTTATTTTGATATTTTTAATAGTTTAAACCAACATAAAATGATTTTTTTATATAGGATAGGGTTACAAACGAGCGTGTGCACCTCATGGTAAGTGGTTACTGTGGCCCATAGACATCTACATCTATCCTCGATTACGAATCAAAATGTAGATGCCTTGTCACCCGTGAGGACTAAGATAAAACGCCTCGTTTCCAGTAAAAAGGGTCTTCGGTTCTCTACACTCACCATAGGAAACACTAGCATTAGCATAGCAATTAGCTACTATTTAACGCTGGTATTCTGTGAGAGAACCAGAAATCCTTTACCGATCGAGCCGACTCATTCGTTCTACAACTATACTACTAATATTAACTGAAGCATGGCTCTAGCACGTATAAATAATATTCAGTCCGTATTATATTACCCCTAAAATAAAAGTAACTCCCTAAGCTGGCTACACTGCAAGGTTATTAAATTGCCAGAATTACCGATAAAGTTTTATTGTTATACAAAAACCTGAATATCATTTTTATTTTCGGTTCGATTCGGTATAGGACAAAAGAATCGAAATTGGAAGCGGTTTTCAGTTTTATCATTTTTTTATGTCAAAATATATTTTTTTCATTCTTTTTTCAAGTTTATTATAACATAATCTATAAACCTATAGAGAAGTAAAATCAAATCTGTGGTTTAAAAATAAAATCTCGTATTTTATTCCACAAGTAAATTAATATATATTAATAATAATATAAGTAAATTAATATATATACATATATATATATATATATATATATATATATATATATATATATATATATATATATTTATAACATAATTCATTTAACTAATATTAAATTAGTTTGTTCAGAATCGTTTACTGCATCGATTTCTGGTATTTGAAAAGGACGAAGAGAGAACGAAATGTGAAATATGGGTAAATCAGGAATGTCTAGAACAGGTAAATGAAATTGTATACTTGGGGAGTGCTTTCAGCCGGGATGGAAGATGTGATTTAGATGTGGATAGGCGTGTCGCTGCCGGAAACAAAGTCAATGGTGCCCTGAATGCATTAGTAAAAAGGCAAGGCGTGGTGAAGAGTGCACGCCTTGCAATACATAACGCAGTGTTGGTACCGACTTTGTTATATGGCAGCGAAACCTGGGTATGCCAGAAGAAGCATAAAAGCAAGTTGAATGCAGTGGAGATGCGATCTCTTCGTAAAATGTGTGGCGTTACCATAGCCGACCGAAAGCGAAACGAAGAGATTCGCAATATGGCAGGATTGAAAGATGACCTTATCACAAAAATTGATAGGGGCGTACTCCAATGGTTTGGGCACGTTGAACGAATGAGTGAAGACCGAATGGTGAAGAAAATATATAGAGCGAAAGTAAATATTAAAAGGTGTCGAGGTAGACCGAGACTAACTTTCGAAGACCATGTGAGCAAATTGCTCGAAGAGGGGAGGGTCAAGAATACTCGGATACCTAGACGTGCATGTAGACGTGTAAGAAGTTAATGAACCTGAAAGAAGCGAAAGAGGTATGTAAGGATCGTAACACTAGGCGATCTGTTCTCTCTGGCTACCCCGTTAGGGATTGTGCGTGAAGATAAGCATCGATTTCTATCATTTTTAATATAGGTAATTTTTATCCCAAAAACAATTAAAACTACGTAAATTACAGTCACACTAAATCTGTACAGTCAAAACAAATTGAAATGGACCGTAACTTAAGGCAATAAGACTTTTAAGACTGCAGTTTTATTTGTATTATTACTAATTCCGTCATTCAATAAATTACAGAAAAATGAACTTTATTCCAAGCACGTTAAAGTCTTTGCGTTCGTGGATTTGTATTGTGTCCACAACATTCTTCCGGAATTAGTATAACTAATTTGATAAATAATCATTGCATATAAATGTTTAAATAAAACTCAGTGTATGTATTACGATTATAACATAATATACTAATTGGGGTGACTGAGGGTGTGCGTTAATTACGTTACATATTGTATATATATATAATCGGAATCTCGGAAACGGCTACAACGATTTTCATAAAATTTTGTGTCCAGGGAGTTTCGGGGCCAAAAAATCGATATAGCTAGGATTTATTTTTAGAAAATGTCTTTTTGTCCGTGTTTTCAGGCAATGAAAAACTGCTACAATATAAGAAAGTCAAAAGGAAGGTAATTTTGATACTGTGTTAATGATCGGAATAGCTCAAGTGGATATCGAGCGGTCACGAAATCGTAATGCCTTGGTTCGCGTCCCGTCTTCGGTCCGAATTTTTCCTTTTTTTCAAGTTTTCTTCTTTTGTGAGAAACTCTTTTATTTCGAACCCTTTTTTTTGTATATTTTGAAAATACGAAAATTTTAATTAAACTAATTGCACTCGTGATTTTTATTCAGTTTTTTTCTATTAAGTCAATAAGATCAAAAAATATTATTCATCAGTATGTAATTTGTATCTAAATGTAATTTCAAAAAAAACCGAGCAAAGGTCGGTCATCCGGGTACTATATATATGGAAAAGCTAGCACACAGATATTAAAAAAAATTAAAGAACACAAACACACAGTATCCACTTATAATTATAATCAATACAAAATATAACTAATAGACATAAAATAAGAAAAGTTAATTTTTACACCCTCCTCACAATTAACTAACTTTCACGTCGTGAGATCTATGTAATGTTTCACCAAATTCTGAAATGGCACCCGCTGGAGGCAGAAAAAGTTGTGGAAGCTCTAATTGGCGAAGATATCATATTATGATCATACAAAAAACGTAAATCAAGTTTGTTTTCTCTGCGTATCAATGATTTGTTGCAAACTACACCGGCCGTGCCAATATTTCTCGGTAAAATGTTGCCGAGTACCGGAACAAACTTGTGTCTGAAGTCGAGTCTTTGCTGAACAATGTTTCGAATTGGGTGTCTAGTCCAGTTAAATCCCCAGAAGACACAAGTTTGCAAAGCAATCC